TGGTCCCGATGGGATGATGGTGAAGATTCGTCCCAACAAGTAGTAGTTGTCCACTATGATATGAACTAGAGAGTGTGTTTTAGGGCGGCAACCCCTTCGACATGGAAGGCATGGAGAGCTTCATGAGTCAGATGGGTAACGGTAGAACGTATCTCAGCTCACCCATGATATGATACGAAACAGGTCAAGGAGGAGAGGCTCCACCTGACTCGGATGACGAGAGCGATGCCGATGATCTTCCGGACCTCGACGAGCCAGTAGCTACTGAAGAGGAGCAGAGGAAGGTGGTCAAGGAGGATGATGATAAGGAAAATGACAAGAAGGTGGGCTCTACGACTTAGTGTTGGTTTATCAGTTTGAAGGGAAGTCATTTTGTCGTATAAGAAAATGTTGTTTATTGTTGTATTTACTTTAGACGAGTTCGAAGGTGGTAGAGGCTTAAGAGGGCTGACGCTGACTTTGTAGAACTGTGTTCAATCTGATTAAATACCCCATTTCTAGTAGACACTTGTTGGTGTTTATAAGTGGTTAAGAGTAGTAGGTCGACTGCTGTGAGGGGGACTGCATCGGGCTAAGCATGAGAAGGGTAGGAGGTTATCATCAGTAGTATGGCTGGGGAGGACCCAGGATGTTCCTAGGCGTTGTAAACTGTACGCCTCCGAAGATACGATGCCCTCTTTCGTAGGCCTGATCAAGTAACGTATTACTTGCAGTCTAAAACTATAGGCGCTCTCATTGTTAGAAGTCTTCAACACATACGCCTAAGGCGTAAGATTTTATGTCTAACGGCATCTCTGGGAAGGACTGAGCAGTTAAGTTACTTGGGACGAATGGAGGCACTGGGTCGTATCAGAGTTAGAGAAAGGGGTGGTTGTAGTGAGATCGCTAGTCTTAAACTATTGTTATTGCCGAGTCCATTCATGGGGGTCTACATACTAGAGTTAGGAGAACTAGCTCTTGTCCTATAGCATCTTCTGCAGCCTTAGCATAGCACATGACGTGCCTTATGCAGAGTCAAACCTGCGGCAGTAGTAACTTGAAG